ATTACTTAACTGGAGGTCATACGTCGATTAATTATTCAAATGTCACTTATTTCTATAAAATAATCGCACGACCTTAATAATTGGCCAACAAAACATCTCCGAGTATTTACCCACTAAGGTATATTATAATGCAGAGTATACGGGAACGTCATGTCATACAAAATGTAATTATACATTGTTCTATTATGAAACTGTGCTTTGAGTTACCGATCACAAAATGACGTTTAGATTGATACTAAAACTTGAGGTAAATCATTAGATTGTCGAACAGAAGAATAAATTTGTGTCTCATCAAACGACCGAACAAATGTTATTAATGATGACATATAATATAATAGTGTTTTTAACTTTCCAATCAAAATGAAGGAAACAGGTGCATTCTATGTGGAATCAATTCATTGACGGAGTTGTTAATTGTCAACATAAAATCACTAATGACGTACCGCCTCAAGTCCGACAGTGTGACCCTAGATTTGTCAACGGATCATTTTGTACAGTATTGTATTAAATTACAAGCAACTACGACAACTATGTAGACGGAATTCCGACAAAAGACTTGAATGTCGAATGTATTTACCGTAAATTATATTATTACATAGCTGAGCTCTCGGTACGATGTTAGTAAGTAGAGAGGATAAATCCATCAGACTGAAGAGACGTCTCGTTTTGGACAGGTTTATTGAATTTATATATACAGGAACAATTTTACTGAAGTTAGCGGATTAGTTTGTAGCAAACGCAATTATCGTGATACTCTGTTACAGACCGTTTTAGGGATCGGATTAATTGCCGTCAGTAACAGATGTGGGTCACTTGTTGAGTATGTGCGTGTGCTTTAGGTGTGACGAACTTTGGTAAACGTTTTATTTGATATAAAATTTTCGGCATTACATTTTTTTCGCTAAGTTTATTGCGCTGTAAGCTCTTGTCTTTTGAAAAGACCGGATAATAGTAGATTCTACATTTTTACTAATGTTTTCTTCTCACTCGAGTGACACGAGAAAAATGCTGATAAAATTACTTTGGAAACATACTGAATGTTTTAATAATATTTTCTGAGAATGTTACTTCAACCATTTCAAAAGGAGCGTTATAATAAAATAATCAGTTAAAACGTTCTCTAGTTCATACGAAATTTTATCTACCATTGAAATTAATATATTATCGATTAACATTTGAAAAATGTTTGGATTTGTCAATTTATTTGCTATCAACTCAGTCCCCTGTAATATTTTTTTGTTATTTAATAACATTTCATACGAGAATTATGTGTCTTTTATCCTAGAGAGTTTATTCTGGGGACCAGTGCTCTACCCTTTAGCTAAATACAATCAGCTTATTGACTCAAATGGATTAATATACATCCATTTGTCATTTAAATTACACATTCGAGTTCGCGTGTGTATAAAATACAATATGCATGTGTATATATCGATCGCACAATGTAAACGAATTTAATCGTTTCGAATTTCGTCAAAAGCGTAGGCTTGAGCTCAATTAGATTTCTACATTTAATCGACCTCGTTCAAAATACGAAGCACGAGTAATAGGAGGAGTAAGCAGAGAATTAACAAAACGGCTTCTTTGAAGACCTTTATGACAAAATGTCACTCTCCTTTGAAACACGGTAAAACGGGAACCTTTTAATAATTCGTCACTGAAAACGTTTAATGACGCACTTTTGAACCCTTTCCTTTCGTGACATATACCGTATCGCCTCTCCCTTGTTTATCAGTCATCAGCTCGATATTATATGTCCCGTGCATGTATCTAAACGGATATTACAAGGCTTTGAGCAAAAACTCTATTTTATACACGGAGTTACGCGAAACGTTCACAAAACAAATGTTTGTCTTTGATTGACACTAGGCCGTGTATAATCAGAATTCGGTGGTGCGTCTGGTCCGAACCCAACAGTTGTACCATTTATGTTAAAACAGACATAGTTACTGAAATATCCCATAATGTAGTTTTAAATATAATTATGTAAAAAAAAACAATGAATATCGGAATAATTGTAAATACAATAACATAATCACACAAATAAATTATGTTGGTTAAATGTTATTCAGTGTTTTAATTTTTTACATAGTATATATTTAAAATAATGCAAAATTAGTGTTCTGCTCTCTGTATAAAAAATTAATACGCGTGTTGATGAATACCGTGAAAATTAATACGGATTTTGTATTATTTCATTTATACATGTGTAAATTGTGCTTTATGTTTAGTATGTTTTAACGTATAAAAGCTCTCACTTTGCCACGTCCGCTGTGCATTGCCATTGATTGTATGCGACGATGGCGGCCAAGTTATGTAAGCTTAAGGGTAAACAACGTTTTTCGGGCTGACGAACCGTAATTATTAATTATTCAGGGCCACCGACCGTGAATATCGTACCGAACATATAATATGATATTATTACAGCGTATCGTGATAAAAGCGTGCATCCAAGTACGGAGCTCAAAACTCCTCACACTCCCTACCTCTACTATAACTTTGTCATTCATGTCACATGTTGTTCTATAATATATATATATATATCGTTTAAAATAGTAAAATCAAAATCGAAATATCAGATGTTGCACTTGAGAAATTAAAAATCACATTATGTTTATAAATTTTAAGAATCTAAACATTTAAAATCATACATTTACAAATGGATTATTTCACATTTTATAATGACATATTATATTCAATTTTAAATTTAGATAAATCCTGTTGTTATTAGTATTGTTCTAAAATTTATGTGAAGTTTATTAGAACATGATAAATTGCTAGATTTTGGTAATCCTATGGAAAAGCATTATTGAAAATCCGACGATTGATTTTCACCATTTACCCGTTAGCCTTTCAATGCTTACCCTACCTCAGGGCAGTTACGTTGCGCAAAAATGATCTGTTATAGTACGGCTGTATTTAGAGTGATAAAAAAGCAATCTAGAGTTTTGTTCCCCTCGTGCTCATACCGGGTCACTGTAGGTACGTGTGTCCATCCCCTACCACTACCGTCCATTTACCACTCACCCATCAAGTATTACTATTGTTTCGCGTTAGGTAATTGTGTTATTTTCGACTTGTGTATTGTTCGTCGTCAACAATATAATGGTAGATGCGGAGATGGTTAGGAAGAAAAGGGAGGCGAAATGAGGGGAAGAGATTGCGTGGCGCGTCGTCCGGCATCCGTTGATGTTATTATTATGGTAATAAGGAGTGTGACAGAAGAAAAAGAAAAAGAGGAAATTATCCTTTGTAAATTAAGTGTCAACTACTACGGGAGATATTATTATTGTACATAAAGTGTGTCCCATGTATATATTTATACATGCGGTACAAGAACTCTGCGTATAGAAACAATGGCGATCAGTGTAGCGAAAGAAGGAAGTCTGTGACATTTTTCTGATTGAGTTTTTCATTAATAAAAATGTTTTTTAAAAACATGAAACATTAAATTTAATAAATAAGACTTTATTTTAAAATTAATAAAGCCGGGTCATGGTTAATTCAACACTGTCTGTAGTTACCCAAGGTGATTTTGAGATATTTAATAATGACTAAAGAATTTCAAGCATTTCCTATTATGACGAAGAAGACATCATTCCATCTATATTTTGTTTTGAGGAATTTGACGAGCTGCTAATTTTCAACAAGGCATTGTGTGAGTCGTGTTAGCCTATAATATTGAAAATGAAAATATGTAGGAAAAAATTCGATAGAAAATAAATTATTTGTTATAAAAACTCGGGTGGTTGAATATTTTATATTATGATACATGGACAATTTATATATATATATTGCGTTTCTAGAGCTATTTGAATTTATTCAAGATTGTCATAATCAAAGATTTATGAAGCTTAATTTTAAACATTCTTCTAACTATTGTTAACTACTTATGTTAACAATAGTGTTCATTTATTAGGGACTTTCGTCCATAACCTTAATCAGCGAATTCTGAGTAAAATCATCGTTTCTAACAATTCTATAAATAAAAATGTATTCAAAATAACATTTTTCAACATCTCCACTCAACCGTTAACTTTTTGTTTTTGAATTTTGATACATTTTACTGTCTTCCGTGAAACAATAGATTCTTTTGTACTGTTATCTTTTTGCTATAGTTAGAAAACATAAAATATGTCATGTCCGAAGGGATCGGATCGACTGGTATTTTTCGATTTTGTTGTATTATTTTCCTCTTTTAAGCAAAAAGTTTCACAGTATCCTGTCTTTCTCTAGCACAATCCTCGGATGGAATGTGTACATTCCTGTTTCACGGTATGATTTGAATGTTCCGTAATATTAATATTTATAACATCGTCGGCGTTCTCTCGAAAACTTTATGTCCAATTACTTACCAAGATACTTCATAATAATGTACAGTTATACATGTTGGCTCTACACGATTATAGCATACAACAATAAAACAAAGGTCATTATTAGTATATTTTAAGAACAACATTTATGATTACTGCTAGTGAAGATGAGAACGTATTTAAGAAGATGAAATGTCATAGATTTCTTAGACGTTCAAGTGCAATATTCTGTAGTAAATCTACAAAATCAATTTTTTGTTGTATACTTAATTCAAAATAACAACCAAAAAAAAAATCATTAAAATAATCACCAGTTACTTTTAATAATAAAACTGATTAAAATTAATTGACTATGATGTCATTGTTTTTTTTTAAACAATCATCATTAATTAATAATAAAATACTCACAAAAATAACACGTACACTGATATGTATTTTTATACACATGAATTTATAAATTTTAGAAAGAATTTTTTAAAATATATTTATTTTTTCAAGTCAGACTATAAAAGTTAATTCGATTTTTTCTTTATTATTTCCAAAATATTTAAAATAATCATACTTAAGCAAATGTTTTTTTGATATCTTATGAGTTTAGGGCAAACTTTGAAAAAATTATTTTTATAAGCTATACTCAAACGTCTTTACGAGTCTATTAACATGACTATAATTTTTATGTGTTCATACCGTGTTAACAGCTGTCATTTTTCCCACTTTTGAACCGGTACCAACATGTGTTGCTAAATTGTATTTAATCTAAAAAATACATAAAAAGATTTAATTAATGTTAGAAGTTTGTTATTTCTTGAGCTTATGATCATTTTAATTCATTTACCTGTCAGCTTTTTAAAGTATTTAAGAAAATAAAACTATTAATTTCATTTTTCTGTATTAAATAATTATTTAGGCATACTATGATATATTATAGGCGTATAATAAAAACTGATCACTTATGGCTAATATTTGTTAAGTTCAATATTTTCATAGTTTATTATGGTCATTTTAAGTTTACAGTAAAAACAGAGTCGTATTAAGTACTATATGAGTGTCTCTAGTCTCCTTAATTTGTTTCCATATAACAATTACGAAAAATATGATATAAGTTGACAATGAAGTTATTTTATAACGGTTAAAAATATGTTGTCGCGATTTTGACGAATGATAAGAACAATTTTTTAACTTTTTATCCGTGTAAATGTTTATTACGAGTATTATGTAAAATTTAATTCAGTATAAAATTGTTTATAAACGTTTATTATAAATTCTTTCTGAACCTCGATAAACTTGCCATTAAACAAAATTATGAAGTAAAGAAACTTTTAATCAAGTTTATATCAGAAAGACTTTTTGAAACATTTCTTTAGCAGTAGCAAAATTGAATTGACGAGTATAAATAGAATATGGTCTAACTAAGAAAATGCCTGGTCGATAACAACTTTTAGACTAATGTTTCGGATGATGTTCATATTCTTGTTGTTTAGGCGTAAGGAGAAGTACAATCGAAAAATGACTAATGATAAAAATAGCAGCATCAATTCACTTCCTGTCTATATTTCAAAATGCTAATAACTTCCAAAGTATTGTTATCGACCAGTTACTTTCTTAGTCAAATCATTTTTTGTTTTATATGCTAGTATAATAGATATGTTGCCATTTAAAAAAATAATAATGTTGACATCTCTACAAACAAGATATGGGTCTAAACATTAAATAAAATAAAAGTAAAAAAATATTTTCTAAAAACCTATTTTTTTAAGAGAAATTGATTCGTTAATGTTAAAAGAATCATCTTGTATTTTATATGTATACAACTAAAAATAATTTTTTTTCAAGATAAATTTATTGAATTAGAATAGTATTTTTTAAATCCTATTGATTATAAGTAATATGTTATATTTAAATTGTAAAAACATGTATTAAAAACAATATGTTTTAAAAATTAATATTCTTCACATTATAATTGTAATGTAATGTGATTGCTTATAATAAATTTCAATTTTCCATACAATTTTTAAGAACAAATGTTCAAACGACTTAATGGAAAATGTGAATAAATGTTAACTATGCAATATAAAATAATAGTGTGAAAAAATGTCATTCGAGTTTATCGTAAATTAGAAATCGATTCGATTATTTTTAATAAAAAATAATTGAAGTATCCGGGATAAATTATTTTTTCTCTCTGACAAAAATAACGAATTAAAATACAAAAATACAAATACAGTAAATTTGTGTACTGAGCGTTTTTCATAATTTGTCATATAAGATTTATTGAGCAATATGAAAATCTACTCGTATTTGTTTGTCATTTTGATGAATTTGAATTCATTTTTCTTTATTGTGTAAAAACGTTATTTATAGAGCTTCATAATTACTGACGACTGCATCAGTCATACTGAATTTAAATGATTTAATAAAATGAATACAGAAACGTTTGATTGATTTACATCTATACCTCGCCAATTATAATTGGTGAGGTATAAATTTATAAATTTGACAAGGTTTGGTATAGTTAATATAGTTGCGCGATATTAATTGGATCTAAACTATTGTTTTATCTTAATTTCACTTTATATTTAAGTTTATAACCCTAATCCAAATAAGTCATTTCCCTAACGTTTTCTAAAACACACATAAGAAGATAACTTCTATTTAAGTTAATGACTTAAATACACATGCGCGTCCATTAATTTACGTTTAACGTATTATATGTAACGCAATTAACAGCAAACTGTAAGAAGTTATACACAGCAAGTTCATTGAAGGGTTAAGTAAATATTAGATTTAAATGGGTTTGTGAATAATAGATAAATGCAATCCACCACTGGTGTTCGCGTCAAATTTTAAGACTTCGGTCGTCAAAAAGTAAATTAAATGATAAGTAATAACCGCAAAGTAACATAAGAATGAAAAAAGAAAAAGTATTACAAAGTAATTAAAATATTTCTTAAAGAGAAAATGTACTCTTTTTTTTTTTTTCTTCTTCTTTTTTGTCGAGTATTTTTTTTTTCACTTTACTCCTCTCGAAAGATAAACTCTATACGAGAACTCTTGACTTATGTATAGCCTCAATTAAGTTTTTTCTTCTCACCCTTCCGTTCTATTCTGCTTCCGTTATCCCTGTTTTTCTTTTATATTATTTCGAAAATGATAGTGCGTCCAACAGGTACTCACGTTTACTCCGCGAACAGGTGCAAAACATGTCTAAGTATATATTTTTAGTTACTCATTTGCCCTTATTTGCTAATGGCAAACAACCGCATTACAAATTGTCCACCAATCCATTTACTTCCTCTCGTCTATATTCGTCGTAGTCTGGCCTCTTAATGCTGACGATGATAATTCACCCTGTCGCCAATATCGCTTTGCTTTTCGTCGACGGTAATGGTTTCTTGTCACACTTAACGATTTCTAAATATTTGAAGAGCCCCACTAAGGTAGTTTAGTGCGTTATGAATAAATATGAGAGAAAAGTAATTTATAAATATAATATCTTTTAAAAAAGAAAAAGGTAATTAATTTAGTTATTTTAATAAAATTTTACGGTCAGCATTTATTTTAGTAACAACTAATACGTGCATTTCTCACTAATTTAAACTATTTATTATAAACTGTATAACTTAATTATTTAAACATTTTAAAGTTTTCTTTCTTAATTAAGTCCTGTCAAATAGTTTTTTAGATAAAAAATTGTGCAAAAATAATATGATTTATAGTTCAGTTAAATATTTATTCTCAACAAAAAACTACTACTTCGCTAGGGCCACTTAAATGATTTGGTTCAATAAACTGAAGAAGATTGGAAGATGTGCAACTTCAACATACTTTAATACTTTTAATAAACACGTTGGGCTTTTATTTGTTTCAATATCATAGTTTAAAAACCCACTCACTTTTATACCCTCTCGTCGTTTCGTATTTATGACCAAACTTTTCACAACGATCCGTTACACTTTAGATAACATCAGCTGAGGAGCATCTAAACACATAACTGCAGCTACGACCACCAACGTTTGTATAGAATACATATGTATATGTGTGTACTTATTATGTGATGTCTTTATATTGAGCACGAAAAATAGTAACCATGGTTACATCGTTAACACCGTTAGCCATCAGACATATAATAGTAGTAGAGTCTGTACAGTGCAAGTTGTTCTTATAAGATTACCCCATGGATTTATAAGCCTTTTAGAAAAAAATACTATACATCATCGTGTTATGTCCAGTCAACTGGATACGCTAATTAATTTGAAAATAAAAATAAAAAATGGCAGAAAAATTCGATGGGTTTAAAACTAAAAGTTTGAATTTTATTAAAATTTATGCGATAACCTAGCTCTCACAAAGCCTTTTTTAGAAATTTGAATAATTTAAACTCATCAGAAAAAGATAAATTTCCAGTAAAATTCTCAAAAATTGAATTAATTATTTTTGACAACATTAGTTTATTCAATTATAAAAGCATTTAATTAAAGCAAAAATATGAATTGTGATTATTATTATTATTATTACCAGTTAAAAAAAATCTTTTTTTTATCTTATGATTCACAAATGAAAAAAATAACATAATCATTAGCCAACCGTACTTACATATGTAATTATTTACGTCACATTTCAATTATCTGTTAAAAAAATTACTCAAGCCAAGCTTTTATTTCACATATTCAGTTTTAACTTTTCAGATGATTTTATTTTGATAATTGTTTTATACATATTTTATGTATAAATAAACTGCTAAAAAATATTACAAAATTTAATTAACATAGAACTTAATGGCGTTGAGAAATTATAAAACTAAATGAGATGTATAGAACTGCATGAATTATGTCAAGTTTTATATAAAAATATGTATTTTCTTGATAGTGTCATATAGTAATATTTACATGATTTCATTTTACATTAAAAAAAAATATAATTAATAAAACGTATTACTTAGAAATATTATTAATTAACAAAAAATATATATATAGAAGTTTAAAGACCTTTCTACCTTGGCGAAGTATCTGTCAATGCGTTCAGGAAAAATGAGTGTCATGAAATTACTAAAATGGACGTGTAATGTTCGGACAACGCAAAATCCTTGTCTTTAGCCCATCAATCAAATCCACGCTTGTGTTATTCATAAGTAAATGAAGGGAAAAAATGCAGCGAAAAGAAATTATAAAATAAAGGTGGTAAATACTAATGGACCTATTATTATGTTATAAATACATTATCATATTAAATTTATGCTGGATCGAACAAAGACAAAAGACGAAAAGAAAATAATAACATTTTCAACAAAACAAAAATCGTTCGCATTTTCATTTTGTTTTATATTTTATTATTACTTTTTTGTTTGCTCCAGTGGCAGTCACATCAACATAGAAAACTGAGCCGTTATTTTCTGTCGACACAATGCGTCACGTTCGTATCTTGGACGTGTTAAACAAACAATTGTGTTAATTTAAAACGCTCGAGGGGCTCAAATTTCGTGAAAGTAACAAGATTAAAGTGACGAGCGGCTGCTTCAACGGGGTAAGAGTAAACCCTACGGCAATAATGAGTTAAGACAACTCATTAAATTCAAAGCATACTGGATAAGGGCCACTAAGGTGAATGAATTAAAATTATTCTTATTTGAAAACGATAGGAAAAAAAAAGCGCAAAAGTTTAACAAAAAAAATCATACACTTTCAAGTTGTATTTGTGAAAACTGTAAATGTATAATGGATCTCGTGAAAACACTTATTTATAAAACACGTATTTAGGCG